CCTCATTGTTAGAAACACACATCCGACGATATTGGGTGTGGGATCATCTGTTTTGTGGAATTACAAACAATTCCACATTCTTTTGTACAATACTTTCACAATATGCATCTCACAGTACGATATTTATTGCGATATTTTGTGAAACTGTTAATATGCTACTTTTTCCTCTTAAATTGCCTTGACAAGACTTTATCCAAAGAACTAAGACTTAAAAGCGCTTAGAACTGTTATTTCTTCATGTAGTTTGCGCTGAAAAGGAGCAAAGGATCATGGTCTATGTAGTTCCCTCTGTTTTTTTTTTAGCTATTGCTGCACCATAACTCTTAATTTAAGCAAAGACTTGTAATTCGATATATTGTGATGGTCCACAACATTATTGTGAGAATATTGACGATAAGATATCGCGATATTTCGGTTATTGTTACATCCCTGTGTCAGACTATGGAACATTCAAGGAAAGCATTAACATCTCCTTGGAAAAAAGAAGGTGCCATATTCAAATTTCAGATTTACTTTAAAAGGACTTACATAACCTATTTTAAAGTTATACAAAGCAGAGTTAAATCCTTTGACTATTCTTTGCTTTTTTTTTTTTTCAAGTTCGGGTCATTCAACTGGATATTACTGAATGGACAATTCCACTAATCTGAGATGGAGTTAAACTGAGTTGGTGGATGGCATGATAGTTACAAATATTGGTAGCTTCTATATTAACATGAAGGAAAATTCCTTAAAATGTAGTCTCCTCAATGCTCAGGAAAGAAGGTTGTGAAGTAAAAGTATGTCTCTGTTAGTATTATAACATATCCAAGCACCAACAGCATTACAACAATGATTTAGTTGTTGTACAACTGTCTGTATCTGGGGTATAGTGCTAAAATCAGGCTTAAGTGAATATATTCAGGGCAGGCCAGATGTTAAACAGTAAACTTTCTTTTTCATTTAGCTGTGTGAGTGTGTGTGAGTGTGTGTGTGTGTGTGTGTGTGAGTGTGTGGGGTGGTTGGGGGTCATCCAGAGAGGTCCCTCAGGCTGTGGCTCAATTACATGCTAATAACACAGTCAGGGGCAACAGAGCCACAGTAAAAACATACATGTGCAAGCTTAAACACAATATTAGCAGCCAGTCTACCACCATGATGTTTTCATTCACCACTGACTTCTAATTAAACTCTGATGCAAATGGTTTCCTGGCTTTTTCATCATCTTCAAAGTGGCGGTTATACAATTGAGTACATGTGTTTGGTTGTGATAGTTAATTACTCAACAAAAATAAATGTACTTTAATGGTTATGTTCACTTAGTTTGGTATTCAGCAATTATTTTTTGCCTGGAATGTTCCACAGTAGGGCATTAAACATATCTCCATTGCATGTGTTCAATTACAGGTGTTTTATTGCTCAAAAATATCATAAATATTCATTCTTACCACGTGCAGGCGTTCTTCTCCATAGATTTGATCATTAACCTGTCTCCACTGTGATTACCAGAGGTGGGACCAAGTTGTCGTTTTGCAAGTCTCAAGTAAGTCTCAAGTCTTTGACCTCAAGTCCGAGTCAAGTCCCAAGTCAAATACAGGCAAGTTCAAGACGAGTCTCGAGTCACTGGTCCATAAGTCCAAATCAACTTCAAGTCATCTGCTTTGAGCCTCAAGCCATTTCAAGTCTTTAAACCAAAGTACCAAATTTAAACTAAATTGTACTTATATTTATATGTAAGTATTTACATAAGAGTTTTAGAAATGGACAGTTTTTCTTTTTAAATGTCTTGACAAAATCTGAGAAGGTAGATTTAAAAGTGCTTAATTACAGTTATTTTGTCATGTATTTGCACTGAAATGGAAGGCTCAAGTTCTTTGTGGTTCCCTCTGTTTTACTGTGTTGTACTGTATATTACTTTATTGTAGTGTACATTACTGTATATTACTGTAGTACATTTGAGTATCACAGTACTTCAGTTCCATCCAAAGTACCAAAGAGAAGTGGGAGGGACATGTTCCAGTTTGTTCCTGTAAAATTAATCACCACATTATTAACTGCGAAGAGAAAAGCATTTTCTAAAAACATATTTTTTTAGAAGAAACATCAAGTCTTCTCAAGTCACAGGCCTCAAGTCCAAGTCAAGTCCTAAGTCATTGAGCTTCAAGTCCAAGTCAAGTCCTGAGTCCATTTTATCAAGTCAAGTCTCAAGTCCTAAAAATAGTGACTCAAGTCTGTCTCAAGTCCAAGTCACGACTTACAAGTCTCCACGTCTGGTGATTACCATGTTTATTTTCATAATGTGGAATAATCACAGCAAATCAGTAATATCTCCATGAAGACAAACAGGTAGATCCACTACCCTCCACTAGAAAAGGTTACACAGTGCACCTTTATACTAAACATGTTTTTGTGTTGAGTTTAGTAAATTTTTACAAAGAACTGTGACAAAAGAAATAAACAAATAACTTCCCAAATACTTTAATATCAAATCTGTTTCTCTACATCTTTTGTTAACAGCTGTTATTGAAAATATGTCTTAAAAATTATGGTAACTTCAAAACACTTATTGAACGCCAAGTTCAGTGTTTCCTTGGAAATAGCCCAGGTGCTTCAGGTATTATGACACTGAACACACTTATATCTTCCAGCACTGGCATGTTTTTATGTTTTTTGGCTGCTTAAAAGCAGATGGCAGAGCAGCTAAGGAGTCCAGGCCCCACATAGTTCTTGGGTAAGGGCCCTATAACAGTAAATATGTGTAATCCCTGATAGCCTTTCTCTTGAACCGGGGCCCCTGAGTCATCCACGCTCACCACTCATTCATAAGAACTTATCATTTCCTGTACTCTGTCAACTTTTACTCAGACTTCTGCAGAACATTAGCTGCTGTTGTCATCCGTTACCACTACTGCACTGTAAAAATAAACTGTGACTCACATCAAACCTTTACAAGTAGCCTTCAGGGAGTTAAAATATCCATATAATATCCAATATTACAGACTAAATCATTTGTATTGAACAAATACAGACTAAATCAGCTGGAACCTGGGCTACACCAAGAGTATAAGGCAGGACTAAACAGGGGTGAAATGTAAAAGATCGAAACCAGAACTAAACTAGGTTTAAACCATGCATTAAAGGTCCTTTATTATGCAAAATGGATTCTTGTGAGCTTTACGCCATGTTATAATGTTGTTACCTCCTCAAAAACATAGCTGGAGTTGTGTTTAGTTTCATTCACACGTTTGAGTAACAATGCATAATTAGCCTGTCTACATCTCCAAAGATCAAAATACTCTGTTTCACCTTGCAATGTCATGAAGCAGTAGTTTTTAAGTTAACAGCTACCTTTTAAGTGGCTTAAAAGTTTAAAAACACAGTGGAGAACTTCCTGTATGACCACATGACATGATAAGAGTGTTTTCTGTTTGAGAGAAGAACTCAGCCTAAATATACAGGATTTGTGTGTTTAACATGTGAATGAAACAAAACACAACTGAGTTCACCACTTGCTTGTCTCCATGGAGATGTTATTGCTTTGCCTAGAATCGTTCACATTATGGTATTAAACTTATCTATCTAAATCACCACTAGATCAAGTTAGAGGTCAGATCTGTGGAGAGGCAACCCCGCCCTGAGTGGATACATGTTTTTCAAGGTCTTTCTTGGCAATAAAAACTGTTGTAATTAAATAAAGATAAATACTGTATTTTTAATGCCATACTGTGAAATATCCCAGGCAAAGCAATAATAATAGAAAACGGTAGACCAGAAAAGTTGCATTACATAGCTTTACTTTTGGACTAAATGGCAATAAAATCCAAATTACTGTAAAAACGTGAACTACAGACTCTACCACACCACCTTAAGAAGCCAGTGGACCACAGCTTGAGAATCTTTAAGACTTCTGAACAGGTAGTGCATTATGTAGCTTGGACTATGGTGAATGTAGAGATGCCTTGTTATTAGAGCTGAGTGGAGGCTCAGTTAACTATATGCAGCTGCAGTCCATTTGTAAACTGACATCGGCTAGCGCACATTAGCCACTGTAGAACAACACAGAGGCGAGCAGGAGTTAGTATAAACACCACCACATCCTTCTCCATGGAGATCAGTCACGGGGCAACCCAGATGCCACAATGGGGGACTGTAAATTAACATGAACCTTAGCCTGGGATACTGTAAATGAGTCATTCTTAACATCACACCAGTGTATCTGAAAAGGACTAAGACTAAACCAGGGCTAAATCATGACTAAACTAGGACTAAACAAGGTCTAAATGAGGAGCAAACCAGGGCTACACTATGACTGAATATGAGTGAAAAAGGTCAGGTCAACGGGACTGACCTAATTGCCTAAAATAGATGATGCAAGAAACATGGACATTCATTCAAAAGTGAAGTTCTAGGAAAAAAACATTGTGTTACCGTTGATCTTCAGATTGAGAAACTGATGTCTTTCACAAGGACTAAGGAAGTGTCTTTACTAGGCAAACAAGCAATGGTCAGTTCTGTTCAACCATATTTCCCAAATGAATGAATTAACAGTAGTTTATATGATACTAAAACTACAATTTTACCTTTGTTATACATTTATGCAGTCTGTAATTGCATAACAAAGGTAAAATTGTCGTATTCTTTATAAATTATGTGAACGATAACCGTACTGTAGACTATAACTTGGCCTTTTAGAGACTAATATTGCCTATAAATAGTGATCTGGGATGAACGTATTCAACCGTCCAAGTCCTCTCTGCTTGGCATTTCTCAATAATGACCCCAACAAACCCCACCGTGACCCTCTGTGAGCCTCCAGACCATCAGACCAGGTCAGTTGAGTTACGACACATCTTCATAAAAACCTAAAATGGTTCATAGCACGTTTCCTTCCCAATAAAAACAATGCAATTTACTTTAAAAGTGGCGCACGTCACTAAAAATAACGTGTCCCTCTGCGTAAACACTCCACACGTGCTCTCTGTGTGCGTGCTGTCCTCGTGCGTGCGTGCGTGTCTCGTTACCTGTGGCGACTCGCAGCACGCTGTCCAGTTTGGTAGCTTTGGACTCCGGTGTCGGTGTATCCCAGACCCCAGCACCCTCGGGCGAACGTGAGGACCAACAGGTAAAGCAACGTCTCCATCCTCACGTGGACTCTCCGATCTCTTCTCAAATTAACTTCTCATTTGGTCCGAAATAGATAAAATATTCCAAAAACAGTGCAAATAAAATCCCGAGGGCGTTATGGCAAGTGCATGTCGGGCGTAAAAGCGCAGTGGACGCGATGAGACGTGACGTGCGCACTTCGAGGGCTGTTACGGGAGTGAAGCAGGAGCTGGAAAGTTTTCTGTCAGAGTGAAAGAAGCCCATGCCCAACCAAGCCCCCCTGCGCGCGCCCCCTCCTCCTCTGTGTACGTACGTAAGTGTGCGTGCATGTGTGTGTGTGTGTGTGTGTGTGCGTATGTGTTTCTCAGCTCATTCAGCCCCATTCAATTGAAAGCTCGTTGGCACTGTAAGCTATTGTTGAGTTGCCAGAGTAATTTTAGCAAAAACACCGTCCAAAGTGCGTAAAATTTAAATGTCATAAAAAGAGGGGAGTTTCTTGTAATAATATGTGAATTAAGACCAGAATGGACAACAAGAAAAAATTCGAAAGGTTTGTTTTCATAATGATTAAGTTGAAGTATGAACAAAATGCAATGTTGCCCTGATTTTGACATGCACAGGATGTTTGGGGAGTCATAACTAAATAAGAAGTCTGCCAAAACTATGGATGCAATTCAAGAGGAAAGAGGATACAGGAAAATAAACCACAAGAGATAGAGAAGGAATGAATGTGAATGCAGACCCAAGTATAATACCTAATACCTGATTCCATGCCCATAATTAAGGGCCCGTATGATGCTGTTTTCTGATCTATCTTTATGTTTCCTCACCACAAACATACTTGGAGATGTGTTTTGTTTCATTCACACTTGTTTAACAGACAAATCCAGGCTGAGTTCCTCTCTCAAACAGAAAACACTCTGTTCCACCTTGTGATGTCATTTGCTAATATAGGAAGTGCTTCACTGTGGTTTTAAACTCCATATACTGGCCAGCAGTAGCTCAGCTGGTAGAGCATTCACCCACTGATCTGAAGGTTGGCGGTTCTAATCCAGCTCTCAACATAAAAAAACATCACAGGTTGAGCAGTCAGATGCACTGACCCACAGGTTGGCTGGTGTGATTCCAGCTCTCACAGATGAATGCTTTTGTTGTGTCCTTGGGCAAGACACTTAACCCACCTTGAACCACTCACCCATTCACACACCAGTGTCTGCATACACTGGTGTGTGAATGGGTGAGTGGTTCCTTGTTGTAAAGTGCTTTGAGTGTCTTGAAGGTGGAAAAGCACTTTAGAAAAATGTGTCCATTTACCATTCTAGAATCATTTGGATGATTTTAGCCCTGGAATTGCCAATCTCTACTGAACTAAATGTAAAAGATATGTGGAACTGAGCATTTTGAGCTTTGGAGATGTAAACAGCCCAGAGGTGGAACCAAGTCTTTGTTTTGCAAGTCTCAAATCTTTAACCTCAAGTCCAAGTCAAGGCCCAAGTCAAATATAGGCAAGTTCAAGTCGAGTCTCGAGTCACTGGCCCATAAGTCTAAGTCAAGTCCAAGTCGTCTGCTTTGAGCTTCAAGTCATTTCAAGTCTTTAAACCAAAGTACCAAACATAGCTTAGATTGCAATTTGTATGACCTTTAAACTAAATTGTACTTTAAAAAAAACTCATAGTATATTTATGATTATTTGTAGAGTATATAAGAGTTGTAGAAATTAATTTAGTTATTTTTTCTTTTTTAAATGTCTTGACAAGATCTTAGTGTGAATCATTACAGTCAGAATAGAAAGAATTCAGATTTAAAAGTGCTTCTCAACTCTTCACAAGTCACAGGCCTCAAGTCCAAGTCGAGTCCCAAGTCGTAGTCCTTTTTATCAAGTCAAGTCTCAAGTCCTAAAAATAGTGGCTCAAGTCCCCACCTCTGAAACAGACCAAGAAAGGGTTACTCAAATATGTGAGAATGAAACAAAACACAAATCCAGTTATGTTGTCGAGGAGGTAACAGCACTGTAACATGACTTAAAGCTCACAAGAGTCCCTTTTGCATAATACAGCACCTTTAACTGTTGAAGTGCACAGTTAAAGGTGCATTATGTTATTTTCTGTTGGAGGGTTCGCCACCTGCTTGTATTCCACAGTTTGGCATTAAACATATCCATCTTGCTTATTCAATTACAAATTATAAAAAAATCTCATACATTATAAAAGATGTTTATATACTGTGTACAAGGATCGCCGCTTCACCGACCTGACCTATAGTTTGGCCTGGCTGTGTCACTTGTTTGGAAATAAATAAGTTTAATGTCACTGTGTAACATTCACATGCAAGGCAAGTTTATTTTTATAGCACAATTCATACACAAAGTCATTCAAAGTACTAGCAATAACATCTCTATGGAGACAAGAAAGTGGCAATGTGGCAAACTCTGTGCCAGAAATGTTACACAATAGAAGTAAATTCCATGTCATCTGTCAACCAGGTGTTTCTCTGCTTTAAAAGTCAGGAAAAAACTACTCACTGTGCTCTTTACACTGTATTATGAAATGTATTTGCAAGAATGTCCACCATTCAGGGGTCTATAACCTGCTATGCTACTGCTCTGTCTGGAATGTTCCACAGTATGACATTAAACAGCTCAATCTTACATTTATTCAAGTACAGGTGGTTTTATAGCTCAAAAACAACTAAAAAAACAGACATTCTGATTGTGAGTGGGGTTGCCTCCCCACAGATCTGACCTGTACCTTGGTCTGGTTTGGTCTCCATGAAGTTAGAAAGGTTTAATACCATACTGTGAAACAATCCAGACAAAGCAATAACATCGATATGGAGAAAAGCATTTCCTCCGGATCCTCCACCAGAAAGTTACATAATGCACCTTTAAACACTGAAAATTCATCGGTCAGACCCACAACAACAGAGACAAGTCGGTTAGAGAAGAGGTTTAAAGTTTGACAGATCTGAGAACAGTGAGAGGTTTTGTCAAATATGCAACTCTTTTTTTTCACACGTGTTACTTTCACTGGACTTTTCTCAGTGTGATTTCTCATATAATGTGCAGTCTCTCTTATGTGGGCACATTACAACACAATGTCTACGACTCCATCAAATCTAAATGCTCCCACCTGCTCAGCTCAACAATTCCTAAACTTTACTTTGTAAATAAGACAGCTGCAAACTGGCCACTTATGACCAGTTCTGTGCTAACAGATTCAGCTTCAACTGAAATCTCTTGGATGGGAAGCCAAACATCATTTTGTATCTACTTCGCGTGCCCCCTGCCAGTGGCGGAGTTAGCAATTTGGGGGCCCTAGGCAAACTTGAGTTTTGGGCCCTCACTATAATGCACTGTTTTGTTTTTGTTTTGTTTTGTTTTGTTTTTTAATATATATTTGTCGTCTGTTTTTTCCTCTTTGTTCTTGAGACACGCACATCTCTGTTTATTTGAATTAGGGTGGACTGGAAACTTGTCTTATTAGTTCGGTCGCCTACTAGATAACCAGTGCTGAAAGTAGTTTTTTTTTTTTTTTTTTGCTAATACAACTACATTTTGTTTACATCCATTACATATGATTTTTTTTCTTATGATTATTGTTTAAAAGTAAACTACTCGCATTTAATGTCATATTGAGAGAAAATCTAATTGCTCTGAGGCAATTGGTTGAGGGCCCCTCCAGGTCTGGGGGCTCTAGGCAGCCGCCTACATTTGCCTAATGGTAGCACTGCCTCTGCTCCCTGCTTGTCTATATGGAGATGGCATTGCTTTGCATGGACTATTCCGCATTATGGCATTATTTAGAACTTATTTTGTGTAGTTATCTAGTAATTTATGGTTAAAAACACTTATTTTAAGATTGTTTGAAATATTCTAAACAAAGCAGAAACATCTCCATGGAGACAAGTACCTTTAACCCACCTACTTAAGTGATTTTGCTATGGACAATAACAATAAAATTACTGAGAGATTCAATGGGCATTAGAATACAAGCCATATTTTACGCTTGCAGCGACAAATTTGTGGGTATACCGGCTTGTCAAAGCCTGATCCCGTCAGATCTCAGAAGCTAAGCAAGACCGGGCCTGTGTAGTACTTGGATGGGAGACCGCTGGAAATTCCAGGTGCCACAGTGGGGCACCAGTGGCAAAAACTGTTGTTGTGTCCTTAGGCTAGACACTTCACCCACATTGCCTAGTATGAAAGTGGTGTGTGTGAGTGACGGTGGTGGTTGGAGGGGCCGATGGCACAGATTGGCAGCCTCATTTGTGTCGGTCTGCTCCAGGGCAGCTGTGGCTACAGTAGTAGCTTACCACCACTGAGTGTTTAGAGAATGAACAATGAACTGTAAAGCGCTTTGGGTGTCTTGAAAGGCGCTGTATAAATGCAATGATAAAACTTGTAATTGTAATTTTGATTCATTGTTTCTTTCTCATTCATCATTATTTGAAACCAAAGCAGCGCCATCATCTTCCTCTGCCCCACGTCTTGCACAAACATCCTCTGCGATAAGAACCTGGCATAATGACTATAATGGTTTAGAAATGGGGTCTCTGGAGTCCCACCTCCGCAACAGACAGAGAGCCAGGACCGCGCTGTATTTATTTGCACTTGTGATAGTGAAGGGACATTATCACGGTGACATAAACACCAGCGTGCCAATAGTGTTGAGGGTTCAAATTATGGGGGTAAAATACAAGTGCAGTAATGGCTTTTTATAAGGTTTATAAGGTTTCTTGGTTTGTGACACACTTCCAAAGAATTAACAACTCTCCTTGTGTGTTTCCCTGGTACACCACCTCATTATTGGATTTTATAGTCTTCTACAAAAACATTGTTATTAACTCCTTAAATATTGTACACATATATACACTAGGTTATATATTTTGAGGTCTGGGGAAAAACCGCTGGTCTCTGGAAGTGTTTGTTTAGAAAAAAAGTGCTATATAAATCCAATTCATTACATTGCATTACATTGTTGTACTGAATATTTTTACATTCAAAGTGGTTTCACATTGCTTTAATTTATAAAAGTAAGTTGCAAAGTAGACACAGTTACCCTGGGGTGGATCTGCAACCCCTGCTTTATTAAAGGTGCATGATGTAACTTTCCTGATGGGATGTTTCCATGGAGAAGTTATTGCCTTATGCTCCACTGTACGACGTAATCCTTATTTATCTTGCATTTATTTCATTACAGGTGATTT